ATTCGGTCCCCTTGAACTTTTCAAACTTTTGCCACATTTCAGGCTTCAAACATAAAGATATAAATTTTTTTAATTTTTTGTGAAGAATCAACAACAAGTGGGACACAATTGTGAAGTGGAATGAAATTTATTGGATGTGTCAAACTTTTTTAACAAATAAAAAACTGAAAAGTGGGGCGTGGAATATTATTGGGCCCCTTTACTTTCAGTGCAGCAAACTCACTCCAGAAGTTCAGTGAGGATCTATGAATGATCCAATCTTGTCCCAAATGACTGATGATGATAAATAGAATCCACCTGTGTGTAATCAAGCCTCCGTATAAATGCACCTGCTCTGTGATAGTCTCAGGGTTCTGTTCAAAGCGCAGAGAGCATCATAAAGACCAAGGAACACACCAGGCAGGTCCGAGATACTGTTGTGGGGAAGTTTAAAACCAGATTTGGATACAAAACGATTTCCCAAGCTTTAAACATCCCACGGAGCACTGTGCAAGCAATCATATTGAAATGGAAGGAGTATCAGACCACTGCAAATCTACCAAGACCCGGCCGTCCCTCTAAACTTTCATCTCGAACAAGGAGAAGACTGATCAGAGATGCAGCCAAAAGGCCCATGATCACTCTGGATGAACTGCAGAGATCTACAGCTGAGGTGGGAGAGTCTGTCCATAGGACAACAATCAGTCGTACACTGCACAAATCTGGCCTTTATGGAAGAGTGGCAAGAAGAAAGCGGTTTCTCAAAGATACCCATAAAAAAATGTTGTTTAAAGTTTGCCACAAGCACCTGGGAGACACACCAAACATGTGGAAGAAGGTGCTCTGGTCACATGAAACCAAAATCCAACTGTTTGGCCACAATGCAAAACAATATGTTTGGCATTAAAGCAACACAACTCATTACCCTGAACACACCATCCCCACTGTCAAACATGGTGGTGGCAGTATCATGGTTTGGGCCTGCTTTTCATCAGCAGGGACAGGGAAGATGGCCAGAATTGATGGGAAGATGGATGGGGCCAAATACAGGACCATTCTGGAAGAAAACCTGTTTGAGTCTGCAAGAGACCTGAGACTGGGACAGAGATTTATCTTCCAACAAGACAATGATCCAAAACATAAAGCCAAATCTACAATGGAATGGTTCACAAATAAACGTATCCAGGTGTTGGAACGGCCAAGTCAAAGTCCAGACCTGAATCCAATCGAGAATCTGTGGAAAGAGCTGAAGACTGCTGTTCACAAACACTCTCCATCCAACCTCACTGAGCTCGAGCTGTTATCTTTATGTTTGAAGCCTGAAATGTGGCAAAAGTTTGAAAAGTTCAAGGGGGCCGAATACTTTCGCAAGGCACTGTATAGATGCTTGAGGTTTCAATAAGTACATACAGGAAAATACATCAGTTTGACAGTTTCTTGACAGATCAGACAAACGGATCATTTCTCAGTAGTGTCTCATGCAGCAGTTAGGAAGGTGTGAACACATCCTCTTTGTGCATCAACATGTTTCTCACCTGCCCACTAAGTTTATACTGGTGAGTGGTGAGATGCAGACTTTATAAAAGGTGGTGGTTGGGTGTTTAAAACCCACAACGTTCAGCTTTTTTTTTCTTTGTGCAGCCATGAAACAAACAAGCTGCTTCATATATGCCCTTCTGCTGGTCACCATTACGGGTAAGATCAGATTTTATTTTTAAATGCAGAAATATGCATTAATTGCTATAAATGTTTTGCTATTGTTTTTATCAGTTTAATCTTTTTGTCTCATGAAAGGTGCCACTAAGAGTGGCATAGTGGGCGGTAAAGTTGCAGAGAAGCACTCCAGACCGTACATGGCATCGATCCAGGTTGACGGGCAACATTTGTGTGGTGGGATTCTTATTCGCAAAGATTTTGTTCTAACTGCAGCCCACTGCAAAGAGTGAGTTTGTTTGGCAGCCACTTCATATTCCACTTTTTAAATTTATTTAATGTCACAATTTAGAATCGACAAATGGGACAAAAAAATGCTTATTTCTTTAACATTTCACAGCTTTTCTATAAGACAGATTTGCATGACATGAGACACATTAAGGTTAAAAAGGAAGCAACATTATGAATTTACAAGTGCAAAAATGGGTGTTTATTAAATCTAAATAATTAAGTCTTTGTTTTTCAGCTGTTATCGTGATATGACAGTGGTACTCGGTGCGCATGACATCAGCCAGAAGGAGAAAAGTCAGCAAACGCTAAATGTGAAAAAGTACCACGTGCATCCAAAATTCAATAAAAAATTTGATTACGACATTATGTTACTTGAGGTAAACTAATACTATTAAAATATATGTTAATTTCAGTCAAGTATGTCATTTTCTTTAGCTACTTTGTGTTTAAATTTGAACCATTAAAGCTGCTTTAAATGATCATACAGCTATGTACCATCACAAATAAATGTCTTTAAAGTAGTTAATTCTATCAGTTGTGCTGCTTTACAAACATTCATACAGACTGTAACTTTAAAAAACATGAACGACACATTAAAGTGCTGTTAATCTTACAGCTGGAAAAAAAGGCCAAACTGAATAAGTATGTGAAACTGCTTGGATTGGTGGAGAAAGATGAAAAAATCCCTACGAACGTTTACTGTGCTGTTGCTGGATGGGGCAACACTGGACCTACAGAGTCTTCTTCAAATCTTCTCAAAGAGGCCACAGAGAAGATACAATCTATCTCCGAGTGCAAAAGTATTTGGAAAGAACATTTCATTTCCCAGCATATGATTTGTACTACGTTCAACAAAAAGGAAGGAGGAGTGTGTCAGGTAATTAAAGGAGTGAATGTATAAAAATATATATATAAACCAATACACAAGTTCTCTTGTTTGCTTCTGTCTTTAGGGGGATTCTGGTGGACCACTTATTTGCAACACCAAGCTTCAAGGCATAACTGCCTACACAGCTGAGAATGCATGTGACGATCAGAAATATCCCCATGTCTTCACTAAAGTTCATTTCTTTCTTCCCTGGATCAAGACAGTGATGAGGAAATAAGAAAATACTTCATTGTCCTGATTATGTTAAAAAAAAAAAAAAAGTAAAATTCAAGTGTTGAAGCTTAGTGAGAGAAAAAATGCTTTGCATGTGTTGGGAAAATGTTTATATTTGCAAATTCTACAATAATAAAGATGATGTGTGCCTCTTTGTTATTTATTTGCAGAGCGTTGAGCAACTATTTCCAGAGTTTGTTTTAAAAGTTTAAATTTAAGCCAGTCACATTAAGCTGTGAATGGGTTGTTTTCTAAAGATCTGACCGATGCGCTCAGGTGAACCATTGCCTAGATTTTACTTCAAAACCTTCCGGCAACAGTGCTAACCACCACCCTGCTCCCCAGCACATTAAACCCAGGCACTATGGAGGACAGAATGTGACAAAATAAAAAATAAAAATAAAAAAGCATAATACAAACATAATTAAATGCATAATTCAGTTATTAAATACATCATTAAAGAATGAAATGTGCCTTTTAAATGATTTATTTCATGATTTATTTAATTTCGTCACCTTCCGCCCTCCAGTAACACTGTGGTCGATTTGTCTTGACTTGCTGTGAGGAGCAGCCAATCAGGCGTCAGGATCTGTTCACGAGCCACCCTAGTCCCGCCCACTGAGTTTGACGAGCGAGACTGACAGTTAACATAATTTCATGGTGACACACAAGGGTGGAATGTGACAAGATTAAATCATAAAATAAATAATTTAATTGAGAATTTAACGATGTATTTAATATTTAAATGATACATTTAATTATGTATGTATTTATTCCATTTTGTCACATTCAGTCCTCCATAGACCAAACCTTTGACTATTCTTTTATTCAATCAGAGAAATTGAAGAGACAAAACCACTCCCACTGAACATGTAAACTGTCAACTACACAAATTATTTTCTCCTCTACGTTGACCTTTTTAAAGATACCGATGCACCTGTAGGTTTCTTTCGACTGCTCCCTCCTTCAGGGGTTATCACAGTGAATGAACTCACATGAAAGATTTGGCAATTTGTTTTACACTGGATGCCCATCCTGACGCAACATGGGCTTGAACCCACAACCTCAGGATTACAAGAACACAGCAGCCTATGGATACTAATGCACAAGCTCCAAATCAGTATTTTGTAATGCATTGTGGTCTAGAAAAGATTTATGCCAACATTCACAGTTATTTTATTTGTTGTTTATGTCCTCATTACGAGTTTGCAGAATTTCTGAGAACAAGACTTAAATTTCTGATTTGCTATGAGATTGTTATTTTCCAACATTCCAAAAGCTGAAATAATTGTTAATTTGGAGAGTATATGATGTCTCGATACAAAGTGAAAACAAAGGTCAGTTTCTCGATAAAGCCAGAAAATTAACAGCATTGACTTAAACATGCAGCAGTAAGTTAGGTGTGAATACAACTTGTGTGAACATGTTTGACACCTGCCCACAAAGTTTCTGTTTGAGAGTTTGGAGGTCGACTATAAAAGGGTCAGAAACCCAAAATGTTCAGCTTTCCCCTCCGTGCAGCCATGATGCACACACGCTACATAGTTTCCATCCTTCTGTTGGTCACCATCACTGGTAAGATGACATCATTATTATTATTATTATTATTATTATTAATGGCAACTATTTGTCATGTTTCAGTGTTTTATTGATTTGGCCTTGTTTCATTAAAGAGGCCACAGAAAGCAGCATAGTAGGGGGTCAGGTTGCAAAGGCCCACTCCAGACCCTACATGGCATCACTCCAGTTTCAAGGACACCATTCATGTGGTGGAGTACTGATTCGGAAGGACTTTGTTCTAACTGCAGCCCACTGCAAACAGTAAGTGTGTAACAGAACGTTTTCCACATAAACCACATTTTTATTAATAGTAATTTTCTGTGGGAACTTTTTACATTACGCAGTTCAATGTTTCTTTTTTATCTTTGCTGTTTTTTGTTTTGAACCCATTCTGTGGATTAGAGTCTATATTTTAGATCATTATGATTTTACATTGGCGATAATAGTAATAATAATAAAATAAAAAAATCAGACTAGTTTTAAATATGTTTTCTTAATAAAGTCTCTGAGGTTTTTAAAACACTAAATATTGTTTTTCAGCCTTGATGCAGGTGCGATGACAGTGGTTCTTGGAGCGCATGACATAACCAAGAAAGAAAAAACTCAGCAGCTGTTCCAAGTGGCAACATACTTTCAGCACCCAAATTTCACTGGAGGATTTGACTATGACATAATGTTACTTAAGGTAAACCAAAATTGTGGGGGGAGGCAATGTAAAAACAAGTTCTTAAAAGAAAAAAAAAAAAATGTGTTTTGCTTCATCAGTCAAAATCCATTTGTTTAAATCTAATGAGTGACATAAATCCCTTATAAAAAAAACAAAAAAAACTTTGAACATTTTTACAAAATAAATCACGTCAAAATAAAAACAAGCGGAAATGCAACTGTAATGTTAAGCTATCTTGTGTTTTTAATTATAGCTGAAAACCACCGCTAAACTGGAGAAGTACGTCAAGCCCATTGGACTACCAAAAAAAGATGGGAACACCCCTGCCACCATTAAATGTGCCGTTGCTGGCTGGGGCAGAACTGGACCCAAAAAACCCACTTCAAATGTTCTGAAGGAGACCACAGAGAAGACGCAATTCAACTCAGAGTGCCAAAAGATTTGGAGAAAAAATTTCAACTCTCTGCGTATGGTTTGCACCAACTTCGACAAGAAGAAAGGAGGAATATGTGAGGTAACTCTGACGTGCATCAACATATATAAAATAAAATAAAAATACACAACACTGATGATTAAACGTTATGCAACTAATGTTATTCATGAAAAAATATGTTATCTCTTGAAAGATTGTAATCAAGTCTTCCTCCTGCCATGTCTTTAGGGGGATTCTGGTGGACCACTTATCTGCAACACCAAGCTTCAAGGCATAACTGCCTACACAGCTAAAGATGAATGCGATAATCCAAAATATCCCCATGTTTTCACTAAAGTCAGTTTCTATCTTCCCTGGATCAAGACCGTGCTGCAGAAATACGGCAATGCCACATGAGGATTTCTTCCTCTAGCTGAAGTAACCTTAAAATTACCTTCATTTAATTAAAAAAAAAACAAAAAAAAAAAAAAAAAAAAAACTTAATGTAGAGGAAAGAGAAATGTAACTGTTTTGCATGTACCAGAGAAAATGATTTACAAAATCTACAATAAAATATTTGTATGTCTCTTTATTTCTCAAAGCAGCTTAAAGCCCTTTTGTAAATTATATGTAAAAGTTTTTTTTTTAATTAATATTTTACAGATACAATATTTATATAGTCGATTCTACAAGTTTCATGCCAGTCACAGGAAGTGGAAGAGGTTGGTTCATTTTCTGTGAGTGCCAAGAGTTAGAGGGTGCGAGTGCCAGGTGTAAAAGTAAAACCACAGGCCGCTGCATGTGCATTCGTGGAGGTTAGTCATAGTGCAAACTTTTGAAGTTGAATCTCTTTCTGTCTGTGAAAGCTGTCATCTGCAACAATAAAATATATAAATATTAAAACAAATGCACGGAAGATACAAATACGCTTTATTATTACAAAATAAATAAATAAAAGCTCATGCAGAAACAATTTGTCATCTAAATATAATAATATCTGACGATCTTACCAAAAATAATAACAATATTAATGATAATTATAATAACTTGCCTGACTTGGATCTCTGGTGAAATATCTCTTCTCTATTACCTGCAAAGAGCATTTATTGTAAAATTATCCCTATAGAAGACATAGCACTTTAAAGTTCATACTGACAATTCCTGAATATAGTACCTTGTTCCAGCGAGGTCTACTTCAGTACTATTGATAAATATTATTTTCATTATATGCACAATCAAAGGGCAGAAGAGGAAAATATTGTGTTGAGATATTTATTTTAGCTAATCTCAGAAATGATTCTTGAGCTAACACACATGAACATCTGCATTTTTGTAGACCTTTGAAGAAAGGGTGAGTACATACTGCATCAAATATGGGAGAATAAAAGGATGAGCATTCTTAGTTAATATAACTTTCTGTTCCATCAGCTTTCTGGCCAACAAGATCCAAATTGTGGCAACAACAAAAAAAATGAACACAAGGCTCATAAAGAAATGGTTGAGGTCGAGATGACTTTGTGTTGTTGGTACACATTTATTTTAAACTATGACTCTATGACACTTTTTTGTCATACAAGCTGTATTTCAATTTAGTCATATACCTTTTTATTATTATTTTTTTTTTTTACTTTAGATGACATCTTTCAACCAACTACAAATGTGTATGTTTATCTGACCATTGTTCATGAAAAGTCAAACCAGTGAACAAAAAATGTTCACTGTAAATAAATAAAAAAACTGCAGGATTTATGTGAATTCAATTCAATGTATTTAAATAGTGTCAAGTAACAACAGAAGTCATCTCAGGGTGGTGAACAAATACATTCATATAGGCCTACATAAAAATTAAATTAGTAACGTTTTATATAAGATATATATATTTTATCTAGCATATTTATCTAAGGTAGAGTAGTCAGCAGATTGTGTTGTCTTCATTAATAAAATCCTCTGTTTGACAATCCGTACTGACCCGAGCATCACCTGACAACACATGGCAGGACTCGGATTTCTCACCTTGTCATAGAACCTGCTAAGTTTCACAGCATTTGTTGTGCCAGCAGCAAGGTATTTTGGGTTGGTGCAGTCCTGAGAAAATAAAACATCACTTCAGCCACAAAATCATAAAACATGCCAAAATCAATTACACACACATAAAATCCTGTTTGGTTAAGACAAAACCTTCTTTTCTAAATTTTACAATAGTTTCAGTGTTACTTGGCTGACACTTTTAAAATTGTAAACACTAAAAAATATATTTACTTAAGCTACATTCAAAATTATGCAAATAAACAAATAATGTCTAAAAAGCATGCATTTGAACATTTGAAACATAAATCTTGGCTATATAATAAAGGATCTATATGATGCTGTCTGAACTTTACCATACACAATTGAGTCAAACATTCTTAAACTGCAAGTCTGCAAAAATTATGAGGACATGGCATGTTAGTCCAATTTATTTGCACTTTAAATGTATATGTTTGATGATGCACAGGGACTTTTCTGCATACATCTATGAATGAGGTCCATCGTGATGAAAGAAAGCACAAAATACACCTACGAGATTGATCTCCTCTGCATTAAAGTCTTCAGACAGGAACGCCGTCCGAGTGAGAACTTCATTCCGTTTGCTCTCTGGAATCTGATCCAACTTGGTTCCAATCAGCAATAAAGGCACTGGGTTCTCAATGAACTGCTCTCTGTCATATTCACTTCATCAAAAAAGAAAGAAAGGTGCACTCTTAAGTGACTCATCACAAAGTAAAATGTTGACACATATGGATTTGTTGTGCTGTAAAGCAGAACAAAACGTACCCATTTGAGACGATGACTCCTGTTGGAGAGGAATCTTTATTTAAAGCTTCTAATGACCAGCGGTACAGATTCTGAGACGATTTCTTATTTGTTAAATCATGTACTAATACAATTCCTAGAGAAAACAAAACATATTTTTGAAATACATTCTGTCATTTATGATGCAAAATTTGTTTACACTGTCATTTAAAATCTCTTACCATTGACAGAATTGTAGAAGACCACTCTTGTGCTTTTGATGCTGCTGGCACTGCCAACAGATCCTCCAACGTCCCAAAGTTCAATGTAGAAGGTTTTCTCCTCTGGGGTTCCCTCTTTGTAGTCATGAATCTGTATGTGAAAAAAAAATGCTGGTATATCAGTTATCATAACCTTAAATAAATACTATGATGTGAGGGACACAACAATATAGATGTTTTTTGAATACAGTCATGTAATGGACTGATTTTAAGCTGTGAATACACCTGCAAACAAATTTTAGAAGCAATGACAGAGAGGAAAAAGAGAGAACTTAAGCTACTTTTTAACTGCTACTACTTTGTAGCTACTTTGTATCATGTGGCATGGAGGCTGCACAGCTGCAAAAAGAAAAGCTTTGCAGAGAGTGGTGAAGGCTGCACAGAAGTCAATTGGAGTCAGTCTCCCCACCATCACAGACATCTACACCTCCAGATGCAGGAAAAGGGCCACCTGCATCACGAAGGACCCCACTCACCCAGCACAAACACTTTAGTTCCCCACTCCCCTCCAGAAGGAGGTTAAGGAGCATTAAGTGTAGAACCACTAGACTGAGGAACAGCTTCTACCCTGAGGCTGTTAGACTCATGAATATCTAACCAGAATAATCACTGTGAAAAATCACATCATGTTGCTGTGTTCATTCGTACTCATCTGCTCACACAGACTCATGTTTATGCTGCTGTTCGGCATATTGTTTTTATGCTACTAGTGCTTAGTGTGTTTTTAGTTAATGTTTTTCTTAATTCATATGTTAAAATCTTATTACTGTTTTTCTTTTACACACATTTTAATACTTTTGTTGGATGTAACTGTGACCCTGTGTAGACAATTTCATTCCACGATACGTATCACATGTAGTGTGAATGACAAATAAAGAACCTTGAATCCTTGAACTAATACATTCAATGTTCAATTCTTAGGTTTTCTGTATTATGGTAGTACATACTTAATGACAAAAAAAAACATGTGTATTATGTTGCCCATCACATTTGCATATGTGTAGAAAATAAACACACACAAACTAATTAATAAAAGACAACCCAAATTATTTGGACTTTACTTCATTTTTGTTAAACATATGAATGGTGGTAGACCTGCTTACCCGTACATCCACAGAGCAGCCAACAGTCCAAGATGGATTCCCTAAAACTTGATTCTGACACAGCAGGTGAACTAAGGAACTCTTGCCCACCCCTGGGAATGACAAGAAAGAGTGGCAAATACAAACAGAGTACAATAATCCCCGAGGCTCAATGGGATTAACCTGTATAAATAAAGGTTGAATGAAAAAACAAAAACTTTTAGTGTATATAAAATCATATTTCTAGGGTAGTGTTACAAAATAGCTTTAGCCATAGGTAGTCAGTGAGCATTCATTGGAAATATACACAATACACACACACACACACATATATATATTGTTTAAAACACAAGGAAGTTAAACATTTGTTTAATTGAAAATCAGTTTTACAGAATAAAAAGCAAACCCATGGCACAAGTTGATAAATAATTATATATAAATTTCCGTATAAATAGGTAAATATTTCTGAGGTGAGCTGAGCTTCCAATGTTTTAAAATCCTATCTTCTTTTCGATCTTGTGTTTGACAACAACACGGAATGCTAGTTGGTTTCAGCCTCTCAATTAAGACTTAAACGTTTATAAACAGGTACCTTAATAAATATATTGTTACAACTAAAAATAGTTGCACAAATTAAATAGTGTCAATTGTGAAAATAAGGTTTAACTTACCGGAATCTCCCAAAACTAATATTTTTACTCTATCAAGGGTAGCCATTTTTTGATAACAGAGTGTACCGGAAATACAATCTTAAAGCCCGCCCAGAAAATATTTTTCTGTACTTTGATTGGTTAAGAAAAACATCAGTCAGTTTGAATGCATTTTTTTTTCTTGGTCTTGGCCAATAAGAATTTGAGGTTACATTTTTTGTTTCCGGGGTTTATAAACAGCTCGTATCGCATGTTAGCTAAGCTAATAGCTTAACTATTCAGAGGAGCTAAAGCCTAGTGTGCGTTTTAGCTCTGTTTCTATTTGACAAAACGATCAAGAAAGGTTAGTTTGAAATGGCGTAAGGTGTGTTTTTTTTTAACGAAGAAACAGAGACACGGGTAAGACTAATCTTTATTTTGGGATAAACTTGTTTAGAAATAGCACCAGATTCAACATCATTCAAAAAAGCCTTTAGTGGAGCAGTGCAGTAACCAGCAGGTAAACTGGTGTATACAGACTAATAATAAGACTTAACATGCTTTATTATGTATATCTGCGTCTTTGATTAGTATTTCAGCGTAGCTAAATTAAGCAAATTAAATTTAGAAGTGCTAAATAAATTAGCTTCGTGCTGTACCTGATCATATAAGCTTTTTTTTTTTTTTTTTTATCAGGTTTTACTCATCAATCATAATCCCTATGAAATTAATATATTTGCATCATGAAGATGGGGGAATTTTTTTAAAAAAGTTACGAGAATACAACTGAACTATTACATTTAGGACTCCTAACCCACAGCTAATTCTCAGTCCTTCTTGGTTAAGATGAAAAATGCTATAATTAGCAATACAAAAGTCCAAACTTTTAAAACAAAAACTAAGAAATTAGCAAAATAAAAACACATTAAATACAAATATTTACAAGATAGAATAAAATGCAAAACTTAAGAAGTTGATTACAATATATTTTTTTTAATAAATTGTTATATCTTAGTGATAAGACTTTGTTTACGTCATTATTTTACCTAGCCTCCTGTCTTATTTATTTATTTACCCAAGAAAACAAGACTTTCAGTATTTTACAAAATCTCATTTTTCTCCATAGTTCCAGGATGATTGAACCAGAGCTTCTTACCGAGGTCCCTGCATCACTGAAGAGGCTCGCCAAGCAGGTCGTGAGGGGATTTTATGGTATAGAACATGCCTTGGCCCTAGATGTGCTGATACGTAACCCATGCGTGCGAGAGGAGGACATGCTGGAGCTGCTCAAGTTTGACCGGAAACAGCTTCGCTCTGTGCTCAACACTCTGAAAGCTGACAAGTTTGTTAAGTGCCGCATGAGAGTAGAGACAGCTCCTGATGGCAAGACAACACGGCACAACTACTATTTTATTAACTACAGGTTTTATGAGTTCTTTATAAAAAAAATAACATTGGATTTGACAGTAACAATTGCTTTTGTGAACTACAAGTAAGTTGTTTTTATTGTTTTAAAGGGTATTGGTCAATGTGGTAAAGTATAAACTGGACCACATGCGACGGCGCATTGAGACAGACGAACGAGACTCTACCAGTCGTGCCTCCTTCAGGTGCCCTTGCTGCTTCTCCACCTTCACCGACCTGGAGGCTAATCAGCTTTTTGATCCTATGACAGGTAAACGTTAAGCACAAACCATGTTTGGGACATTGGTTGTGTTGTTCCTTATTAAGTTTGAAAAGTAGAAAGGGTTTTGACATTTTTGTGGAAACTTAACAATTCAAGTTCAAATTTTTATAGTGTTGCTTATGTGTTAAAAAAGGACAGTGCAGACGCTTAACTTGACTATGGTTGTTTAGATTTACTGATATTTGAACACAACTTTTTTCCTAATAGATCACTTAATCATACATTTTATCTATCTGTCTGTTTATCTTATCTATTTATATTCATATATCAAAGAATTGCACATGTTTGTAAGCAGATGTTTGTATTAAGTGGGGAGTGGACATTTATTTTTTTTAAGAAAAATCAGACAGTGAATGTCAGTAAATTCACTGCTATCAAACATGAAATGTGGACAATGGCATTTTTTTTGTGTTGTATTTTATATACACTCCTAGCACACAGCTCAGGTGATGACTTGTTTTGATGATCATTTAGTTCTAACTTGTTTTTCTTCAGTAACATGTTCCGTATACTCATTTGATGCTCACTAATTAACCATAAACTAATTAAGTTTCCGCCTAACATTTTGTTAACTCCTCCTATTCAGGTATTCGTCACTTGTTGGAATGTGTATCTTGACTTTCTGCATGTGACATTACAGTGTGTATTTCACATCAGCCATACTGTGGCTCTTGTGTAAATTTACCCAATGGGGAGTAAGATCGACAGTATGGTGGAGGGATAATCTGCTCACTAAATATTCAAGCTGACATCTAGTCCATTCCATTTATGGGTAAATAATGAATTGATAATGTCAAACTGCAGTTTGACCAATTTGATTGTATGCAGAGCAGTTTGCCACTAGATGGCAGTCAAACCTCAACTTAACATAGATTCATTTATGCCAGGGTGCCCATAAAGAAACATCCAGGAATTGCACCATTTTCAGTAAAAAAAAAAAAAAAACACTCCCACTATATTAATATGTAAGTAATCATAAAATTGTTTAGACATTTAAATAAGCGTGCTAGCAGTTTTTTTTTGTCATTTTACATTTATTTGCTTATTTTCCATTTTACTTTGTTTTAAAATTAGCTGTGTGTGAATTTTCTAGCACATGAAGGTAAATGGCAATTAAAAAATATATATGTTCCTTTCTCAAAGATTATAAAAAGTGAAAAAAACAAACAAACAAACAAAATAAGGCTCACTAAACTTAAAGGTGTAGTTGCAGGCTCTGCTTTCTCCTCATTCATTTGCTGGAGTCCCAATTAGAAGGAAGATTGAAATAAATGAATAACATTTTGAATGTTTTGACCTCAAAGAATTGTAAGAATTAATTATTTTCTTTCAGCATCAATTAATGTATGATTGAATTTGTTTGCCTGTGTATCCCTGTCACACACTGATTTTTACTGTTTCAGAGCTTTCCAAAGACAAATGGCTGTCACTCCACTCGCTCACATCAGTAAAAGTTATTGATTTGAGCATTTTCATTTTTCATAATTTAATTATGCAGTCATGCACATAACACATTAAAGTTGAAAGTCTTAATTTGCAATTTGCACACTTGGTCTTGGTGCAAAGGAATTGTTGTGCAGCGCATAAACTCAGGAGAAAACAATAATGTCAGTAGATAAATAATAATGAGGAGCAATAAAGTCACATGCTATTTATATTGTACTATTGATGTTATTTCTAGAGTGAACAATGGTTCAGCCTTAGGTTTTAAAACTATTAGCTGATTAAAATTACCTCAGCATGAACAACTCAACCACATTGTTTGTCCAGACTCCATTAAAGAAGAACAATGTGAAAGGTTAAGATACTCACATCTTGAGCAGCATTCCTAAAAAAAACAATCAACATTTTGAGCTGAAACTTTAGGCAAAACAGACAGAACTTACTTTATAACCACAAAAGGGTTTGAGAACAAAGTGTAGCAGAATTAAATGACATTTTCGTAATTCAATTAATTTAGGTGTTCTATCAACTACTTGGAATAGTGTGCGTGTGCACACTGCATCAAAACTGCTCATTGCAAAACTCTACTGTTCAGGATTAGAGTAAAGTTTATTTAATTGAATAACTACTCACTGGCTTTTGAAACACATTTTTGCACTTTAAAACATGCATTTGTTATTCTCCACAGGAACTGGTTTATTTATGATGCACCAATACTTACGTTTTCTACCAGCCTCAAGGCTAATTTCCAGTCATTTAGCAGCGTGTATAGTTTGTCCCACAAGCATTTCAAATACATTTATTGTTCATGTCTAAGCAAGTAACTTATTGTACCTCATCGCAGAGCAAAAAAGAGAATAGGAAATATTGTCTGACCATCTGTCATGTGAGCTGTGTAGCTTGAAAAATAAGGGAGACACGGCTCTGAAACGCATTTGGAGATGGCGTACGGTAGAGAAATGAACATTCAATTCACGAGCAACAGCTCTAGTGGACATTCCTGCAGTCAGCATGCCAATTGCATGCTCCCTTAGGCCTGTCACATTACCAATTTTTGCTGGGCGATTAATTGTATCAGAACTTATTGCAATAAACAATAATGTTGTTTTAAATTTGGCAATAATTATTAATTATTGTCAAATTTAAGAAGAAATGTTGGTTAATTTGTTTTGGGTGTAATACCTTTTTTGACCACCAGATGGCAATATGAGACCGTTTGAACCGAAGAATGGATAGTGAGGGAGCGAGTAACGTGTCACTTTAAGAAAAAAGGGAGGGAGACCCATGGGCTGTCTCTCTCTCCTTTTTTTCAGTTCTCAAAATGGTGGACGCTCTGTGCGGTTTGAGCTCTTTAGCATAGCATTTTTCATACAAAGCTTTTAGTTTAAAAAAAATCAGTAAACAAGTTCTCAGCTTCTTTTTGCAGAGAAAAACAACTTTTTACACAAAGACATGGGTTTAAATCGTGAATTTTGGAGCTTTGAGAAGACAAAGGTCCCCCCCCCCCGAGGTCGGCCTGTTATCTTAGCTCATAGCTTAGCTTCTCAGCTTAGCTGTTTTTAACGATCCAAAAAACGCAATTTTGGACGGTTAAGGATTTTAAAGAGAAAGGGAGGGGTCAGTGAAGAGCACCGGAGTTGAGCCTTTTTTCATCCAGTGTCTTCTGTAGAAAGAGAGAGACACGAGGAAACAATAAAGCCGGTAAATGAAAATGAGGTTGATAATTTTTCATTTATCATACGATTAATTGATTTATTGTTTATCGTGACAGGCCTACGCTCCTTCAAAATTTGCCACATCTTTGGCATTGTACTGTGATAAAACTGCACATACTAGTGGTCTTTTATTGTGGTCAGGCTAAAGCACACCTGTGCAATTATCATGCTGTTTAATCAGCATCTTGATATGCTACACCTGTGAGGTGGCTGGATCATCTCGGGAAAGGAGAAGTACTCACTAGCAGAGCTTTACACAAATTTGTGAACAATATTTGAAGAGAAAAAGGCCGTAGGTGTACATAGAAAAAGTCTTAAGTCTTTGAGTTCAGCTCATAAAAAATGGGAGCAAAAAACAAAAGTGCTATGTTTTGTTTTTGTTCAGTATATTTATAGTGACTGACGGGATTATCATGCTTTACTCGTGTTTAGCAGTGGGTGCTTTCTCTTGCCCACCCCAGTCATGTGCCTCCGGCTGAAGTTTATGTGCGCCTGCTCACTCTTTATTTTTCTCATTATCTTTTACTGTAGAGACTAAACAGACATGAGGTGTGTGCTAAAGTTGGAACAGCTCCCATTATTGAAACAGAGATCAGGAAGAGAAACAGATGGTCAAATGCTTCCTCTTACTGTTTGGAAGCAAAGGGTGATGAACAATTGCAAACAGTATTCTGCTCTCAAATACATAATGCAGTGTTAAAAAATAAAAAAAATAACATTGCCTGGAAGAAATTAATTCAGTTAAGAGAAAATGTTGAAAAGTCCAGTACCTTTTGCCGAGTTGCGCATTAATAAAATAATTCCTAAACAAATGTTTACCAGCAGTGAGCAGATTCCTGTGAAAATATGCAAACTCAACATCCACACACCAAACTAGCAAAATACATGTTGTTATGCACAAAATTTAAAAACTCATGTTGCAAAATATAGTTTAAAATCTAACATATTCTCATGCTTGTTTCCCTTAAACAAGACAAGAAATAACTGTAGTGCAGTAGTCCCTCACTTATCGTGGGGGTTACATTCCAGACACCTCCGCAATAGGCGAAAACCAGCAAAGTTGGGACATTATATTTATTTTAGTATTTATATAAATACATATTTTGTAAGGCTTTAAAAACCCTTCCTACATTCTTGCAATGTTCTTAATATTCTAAACTCTAAATGCTCTAGAAGAGCACAGTGAAAGAGAGCAGACAGACTGATGCTATATTTACTGAGCCCTGGGGGTGGGCTGGCCATGGAGGCTCAGTTCGGGTCATGCTTGATTATTTTAACTAAACAGTCCTTGCCACTCTTTTGGCTCACTCACGTATAAGACAGAGTCTCCCGCCTCCTCCTTTATTTTTCCGAGGCTGTCTGTTGCATCCCTGCCTGTTGTGTGTCTCTGGGACACAGGGAAAGACAGACCCCGCCCCCTACTTTCTCTTTTTCTGCTGTGACAGACAGCCTTGAAAAGAGAAAGGAGGGGGCGCAGATGAACTAATGTAGAATATCGAAGAAAATGCTTAGGTGGGAAAACAAGACTGAATCAGTTTTAATAAAGAGTGGTTGAGCGCAGCTGAGTGCGGCTCACTCAGGTATAAGACAGACACCCCCCGCCCCCTCCTTTTTCATTTTGAGGCTGTCTGTCACAGCAGAGAAAGGAGGGTGTGGGGTCTGTCTTTCCCCATCACCAATTGTGAGTTGTGAACAATCTGACACTGGAAACCTGCGAAAGATTGAGTCCGTGAAAGTTGAATCACAAAATATCGAGGGACTACTGTATATGAAGTCCCATGTGTCAGTCTTTTTTTTATTTTGCTCCATATCAGCCTTTCCAGAAAAGATAGCTCTTATTCGTAAAAAGTGAACGTGTACAAATCTAGACAGGGTTATACATTATTTTGGTAGAAATACAAGTTTTGTTATTAGTTTTGAACAATTTGTTTTTAAAGAATGCGTGTTCCTGGCTCAAGATTATCTATACATGGTCTGTTTTATTTTGCACCTTTTATTTATTCATTGTAACCCACAGGTACATTTCGTTGCACATTCTGCCAGACAGAGGTGGAAGAAGATGCATCTGTTTGTCCTGATGCCAGGACACTTGTGGCACGCTTTAATGAGCAAATTGAGCCCATCTACGCACTCCTACGCGAGACTGAAGACATTAACTTGTCTCATGACCTGCTGGAGCCTGAGCCTGCAGAGATCCCTGCTCTCAAACAGAGGTCAGTTCCTTTCAAGTCTCACAGCTATGTGCCACTTATCACCTCAGACAGAAAGCATCTTTTGGCTCACTTCATGAATCCCTGAAAATAAATTCAGTTCACAATTACTGAGTAGCATTAGTGTTAGAAGCTGTTTTATCATCATTTTACAACTCCTTATGCCACAATGGAGTTGTAATCCTAAATTGATGGCATTTTTTTCATAGCTGTTTATATAATAGCTTTAAATTGGATATTGTTGTCTCTCCTCTCCAGTCGCGAACGTGCTGCAGCCTCTGGAGCAAACGCTGCAGGCGGACCGCATCGTGAAGCCTGGTCTAACAAGGGATCAGCCTACGCTGATTTGTACACTCAGAATGTGGTTATCAGTATGGAGGAGCATGAAGAGCAACAGAAACAGGTCAATGAGAGCAAGGCACCTAAGGATCAACCTGTCTGGTTGACCCAGAGCACAGTGCAGGGTGCTTATAGTGAACCCGAAACCCTCAATAACCGTAAGTAACATGTTTCTTGCCTTATATTTTACAAGTCAATTTTTACATTTTTGTTGTGGCATACTTTCTTTATTGGAAAAAAAAACATTAATCTATAACTTTTTTTAATAAACATAAACACCGGTACCTCTTCTTGCCCTTACATGAATCTTGGTCAGTACAGTTTGATAAGATGTTTGTAGATGAGAGCAGTTGAATGTAATGGTTTGCCGTCACATCATTTTTTGTGTAGAATTTTATTGTTTTTAAGCCTAGTGAGTTGCATTCAAACTTGTTTTTGTGTGCGTGTGTTGTTGCACCTTTTGAAATTCATAAATATAATGACAAAGTTCAGACTTGCTCACTTATGGCACTTGTTCCTCAAGTCACGTTATATAATATTGTTGTAAGACTTGTGTTTGTTGTGATCAGGTTGTATATTTTTGTACATGGATTCTTACTCAGAAACCAAATAATTAGTTTATGTGCTTTGCTATTTAAACATGTCTTGTTGAGACTTTTGAAATTTTATTAATCACTTTTTTAAATTTGCTCAGATCTTTAGATCAAAATTGTTGTAAGAAAAAAAATATTTCTCAAACCTGAATGCCCCCACAGTATTGCTATATTTTCACATTAGTAACCTTTAAACGGTTTTGGCATAAATTGTCTAGTTTGTATTTTAATCATTCATCCAAAGCATTATTTCATAGACATTTTAACCAAAATACAAACAAACCTCACCAAATTTAACTGCTCTAATTAAATATTTTAAACTCTAAACAGCATGCTGTTGAATACTGTTGACCAATATTTGGCTCCTTTTAACTGGAGTGATTCTTGTAATTACCATACATGTTTTTTTTAAGAATGCGCTATGAAGAACATGAAGTGGACTGTGACAAAAACAATTCAGAAGCCACAATTTTGTTTTGTTTTTAAAGAAAGAGAGCAAGTTAAAGTTAAAGGTCACAGAAGTAAAGCCAAACGATTATGGGTAACTAAGGTCATCTCCGTCTGTCAGAATAGTCCTTCAGGAAGCCATCTCATGCTGACATTGTTTCTCTACCCATGGGCATGTGGCAATCAAACCTGGTCAGACTTTCATTGTAGCATAATTGCCTAATTGAAATAATCAGGCTTGATTAGACTATGGCTGAGCAAGAATTGCTCATTAGGAGAATCAGTTCTTGTGGAAATGACATACATTAGTTGTTCCAGACAGCCCTTCTCAAAGGTAAGCCTCTGCATCTGTTTGTCATGAACTTGTTGACCTGCATGGCTTGGAAAAATACACAAATGACATCTGATTATAACATTTTGTTTACAAGTTTAAAAGAGCTTTTCCAAAGTATTGCATTAATTGGAAATGGCAAATGCATAACACTTTACTCTCCTTTGCACAGTTTACACTAGTACTATAATCTTTAATTCAATTAAATGCTTAAAATTTGATACTGGAAGTTAAAAGTTGTGGCAGCAGAGAGAAAAACAAGTTTGTCCTTTTTTTCCGGTGTGTTTTCGTCTTCAAAAAGGAAAGGAACAAAATGTAATGATTTAAGAACGTCAAATCTGCTGAATGAAGGCAGTCACTGAGCAGATATTAGTTTTATTTATTTATTTATTTATTGACAGGGTAAAAGGAGTTTATAAAACCAGTTTATTAATTAAACAAATAATACATTTTTTGGACAAGGTTAATTTTGTGATAATGGCTAGAACTCATCTGTTTTTAAAGTTGAATAAGTAATTCTTATATACCGTATTTTCCACCGTACACGTCGCACCACCATATAAGTCACATCAGTCCAAAGATGTCTAATAAAGTGTTAAAAAAAAACAAAAGTACTTTGCTTCGCCATATAAGTCACATCTATTGTGTCACTGCTGATACGTCGCATTTGTTACGCGTCACCACTGACAACCTGGAAATGTGGGTCGATGTGTCAAAAATCGATTGGCTGCCAAATGGCGGCCGCGGGAGCATGCACGGGAGGACTTTAACGAGAATTTAACAAAATTAACACTTAAAAACAATTGTTTGCTCAAATTATAGCAAAGATGTGTCTCAGTTGAACTTTTACTTAATACATGCACTTTAATGGTCAAATTAGCTGCATTTTGCCAGGTGGTGCAGTGAAATGAAGCTAATTTGACAGTTGTTCCAGGTAGGGTTGGGCCATATCATATCGTTCACAATAATACCAGTAAAAAAAGCTTGCCTGGGAAAATAAATATGTTAATTTTATGACGTAAGTATGTCAGTGTTTCCCTACTATTATACAAGCAGGGCGCCCCGTCCCGTTAACAGAATCGAGCGAGCTGAATGACCAAACCGAACTGCGCACCCCCCTCTCCACCTGTCAGTACTGGCGTAACGCTAATTAGTTATGTGCAATGCTAGCTAGCTAAAAAGCTAAAAACAAACAACTCGCGTTTCAGCTGTCTTTCCACCCAGCTCTGAACTGTCTGTACAAACACAGCTCGGTGTGTGTCTGTGTCCCCCCCCCGCGCTCTGCTGCCGGTGCGGGTGCAGCTCGCGGGTGCAGCTCGCGGGTGCTCCCCTGCTCTAAACTGTCGGTACAAACATGCACAGCTCAACAGTGTCTCTTGAGTTCCACATGTCCATGGACCAAGAAAAGAGGCAGGTGTTATTTTGGGAAACTTCACCTCCACTTTAGTTTTTGTGGTGGATTTTGTTGATCTATATTTTGTGCAGACTTTTTCAATCTAAATAACAGAAGGATCTTTTGTTAGTTTTATACTTGAAGACTGAATACTTTTACTAAATAAAGTAATTTCAGTAAAAATAACCCTTGTTTTTTTTGTTTGTTTGTTTTTATATAATACTGCAAAGCAACATGTTAATTTTGTCAAATGAATAACTGATTTCTTTTTTTCTTTTTTTTTTGGGTTCTATCACAAAATGTATTGTTATCGTCAGAATACTCAGAAATATCATAATATTATATTTGAGCCATATCGCCTACGCCTAGCTCCAGGGATAATCCCGGAGCTCGACGAAGGTGGCGGACTATGTCAAGCCGATTGTGTCATTAATAGCCACTTTTACCTACTACATGACACAACGGCATGTCCTACTACTCGAGTGCCATCTAGTGGCTGAAAATTGTAGTGTTCAATATGTTCAGTGTCAGAATGAATGAAAATGGTCATGTCTCAGCCAAATTTGGTTTATAAATATGGGAAAAAAAACATAAATAAGTTTCTTTATTGTACAAGTCGCAGGGCATGCAGATTATGCAAAAAACTGACTTATAGGCCGAAAAATACGGAAATAATAATTTTCAATAAAACTTTTGTTTTGCTGTTTGCCCACCCTGTTTTCCCATTGAAGTACCTTTTTTTTTTTTTTACCTGAGAGATTAAACTAAGGGTTATGTTTGTCTGTGTTGTTCTAAGCCTTAAGATCACAAGGAATATTGATTTTTTTTAATAAGCAACCTTTTTTCCACAGGTGGAGAGGCTTTACCCAGAGCCCTGGATGGAACAACGGGTCATGGGTTGGGTCAGGCAGATGAAAATGAGGAAGTGATGCGTGCCCTGCTCATCCATGAGAAGAGGGGTGCTACAGGAGCAGGTGGAGGTGGAGTGAGTGCTGCTGCCAGGGGTCTTGCCTCCGCCACAGCTAATGCAAGTGACTCAGAGAGCGACACCAGTGAATCAGATGACGATTTTCCGCCGGGTCCTCCAACTGCCACAGCCTCTCATCATCGCGCTGACAAGGAGGATGAGGAAGAGGATGAGGATGACTTTGAGGAGGTGGGGGATGAGCCAATGGTGATGGTGGGCGGTCGGCCGTTCTCGTACAGGGAGGTGAGCCAAAGGCCCGAGTTGGTGGAGCAGATGTCTGTGCAGGAAAAGGAGGCGTACATCGAAATGGGACAAAACCTCTTCCAGGACATGTACTTCTGAATTTGCACCCATAAAGTTTATTCACACACAAACATTTGACAAATGTCTCTGTTGTCCCACATTGTCCGTGGTACTGAGAACAATATCATGATAATGTCTTGATAGAAAAAAAACCAAGATGCTGCTGAATACATTTACCGGTAATGGTTTGTCATTTAAACAGAAAAGTGTAAGTTCTGCCAGTGTTTCTGCTGTGATCACTCTAGTACTCTGTCCAAAGTATTATGAAAGTCATCAAACCTAAAAGGAGCTGGCTACTTTCAGAGTGCCAACTTTTGTTTTTCTTTTAAAAGTTTTTTCTGTCATTGCTACTTTCAATAGTTTGTCTTTACCACTAACATTTCAGCCTTAGTTTTCATTTGACAGACCGAAGGGACACACATTTGTTTTAATCAATACACCTGTCCACTTGTAGACATAAAATCTTATGCCTCAAGTCAATTTTCCTGAATGGGCGAAAAAGCATTGATTGTGTGAGAATTGCCAAAAGATTTCAGAGCACTTAGTGCGGGGGCAGGACATGCTAAAAGTCTGAGCAGGCTCCTGCTGCTGCTTCCACTGTGCTGCCTGTTAGGACAATGTGAAAGGAAGAACGTTTTCTGTTTTTTCTAAAAAATAAAAAAAAAACAGCGGGCTTGATTTAAAACCCCATCTCAGGCTAATGTAAAGACAATGAGCCTTTTAGGTTGTTGTGTTAACAAAAGTTTTGTATTTTTCACCAGTCTGAAATAAAATGATACTTTTTTGCCATAAAAATGTGTAATGAATGTCTCGATAGAAAATCGTTTATAAATGCACAACAATACAAAAGTATTGGTTAGGGCTTAATTTGTAAACCGATCGTTGCTGGAATGCAAATAGTGGGCGGGCGAGGTGGGTGTGCTCCCCCAGAAAATTTTGAATAAAGTAGATGCGGTTTCCTGCATTTAAGTGTATTTTAACAGGTTGCTAAACATTACCTTTACCTACATTTGTAATCACTCCGCTTCTTTCAAGCGTCCTAGCTATTATTTTGACAAATTAGTGCCGCTGTTTTGATACGTGATGTGATTAATACACATCAAACATTTCTCTCATTGTATTTTTAATAATCAAAATTTTATTAATAACCCACTTAAACTGTTGAACTGATTTGCAATGTTGTTATGCTGTTTAATTCTATTTTTGAGTTTTTAATAAAATTGTGCCATGACTGGACTTTTACGGGTGGAGATTTTTTTTAAGGGTAGAGTCGAAAATGCTCACTTAAAAGGGCACGTATGGGCTAGTAAGAAGCTTGTAAGTGGCTTTTGTGTTTAAAATTAGTGTTTATGCAATTATTTTCAGTTTACATATCCAGTATAATTTTTATTCATTCAAGGCAGTCATATTTGTTCATAACTTTTTTTAATTAGTAAGCCTGAGAGTTACCGGATCCAAGCAAACAGTTACCGGAACGCGTCCTGTCAAAATAAGGGAGTTCCCGGATCTTGTTCCAGCAGGATCATCCAGCTCAATTAAGCACTGATTTTTAAAGTGTTATATGCTAGATTTATTTTTAAAAGTTTGCAACACTGCACTAAATGCTAAATACATTTACCTACCTACCTATCAAAGATTATTATCTGATAAGGATAAGAAGGCTGCGCTCAGTGCAGTAGCAGCTTCGTGCACTCCATCCATCTTCCGGACGACTGCATGTACATGTTCTCGTATCTCGGTGCAATGATAATAAATCTGATTCTGATTCTTCTACACATTCTCTAATGTTAATGCAGCATAGTTCACATTTACAGTACGGTCAGATGTGTGGCTTTTGTCATACATTTGCCAAAAGCAACTTAATTTTAAGACATAAAAACAAAAAAATATAGTGACTAAAATTGATTGTGAGTTGATAATCTGGAGAAAATTATTAGACTCAAGATGGAAAAATGATCAAACAAATAACATTATTATTATTACACTGTCAGATTTTCCCATTTGGCCTTTTCTCTGTCTTGTCAGGTCAGATTCTGCAGGATGCTGTGTTTTGTGGTTGGTTCAGTAATCACTGCTTTGCTTTAGCCACAGCAACCTACGGCACTGGATCACATACTTAATGTGAGAAATGTCACTTCAAAGACTGAATACTGACAAGGTACTGGCATTTCCAGGAGAAAAAAAAAAGAGGCCTATTCAAACAAATTGTTAAATGCTACACCTGTCATCCTACCAGCTGGGTCAAAATTTTCCTCTCTACAGTAGGTTTTCTTTTTGAGGGATATTTGTTTTTCATTTTACTGTTTAGCTTTGAAAGTTTAACAGACAAAAAGGGTGTACAGTATTTTGTAATTGTGTTTGTTTACCATGAAAACAAATGTATTTTATTCCAATTTGGTACAATGTAATAAAACAACAGTGTCTGCAGAAAAAAAAGCTGTGATAAATGTAAAATATGTACTGATTATTGTACACTGTAAAAAAATCTGGAGTCCATCATTAACACAGTTACTGTTGCTATTCACTATTATTATTGAATATTGCAAAACTAATAGTGTTGGACAGACTCTTCAGACAGTAAATTAAAGATACTTATTTTACCGTTCCCATATTACCAGCACATGTGATAACATGTAAGTTTAAAATCATGCTTTTATAATGAGGCTTTCTATAATTACAATGTTAAAATCTTCAGTTACCTACAAAGTAACTCTAGCTAAACTATGACTGCACCCAGATGAAGGTACTGTTTTGTGACAGCAGCTCTCATCTGAGGTAACTCATTCGTTCAGGGAGCCAGTCACATTTCTCCTTTAAACACTTCATCGAGTCGGTTGTTTGGTTTTAACACAGATGTTTTGGAGCGTGTTGGTTATTTCACACCGACTGCAACAGCCTCAAGTTGACTGAACCAACAAAAGGAGCTGGTTCTGTTTTCTCATGCAAGGTTTAAATGTCACTGACAAAAATATCCTTGGAAATATGTATGTATGTATGTATGTATGTGTGTATATATATATATATATATATATATATATATATATATATATATATATCAAGTTATCTCTGCATGTTTCAGTTCCCCACTCTGCCAGCAGTGAAGGATAAGCTTGCATCATGCTTTCATGTTGAATACTATAGTTTGTTTTTCAACTGCATCGGGTTATGGAAAGTTTGCAGTATTTGACATGCATAACTTAAAAAAATAATTATGTTAGGAGGAATGTTTCTTTGTTGTCTGTGCAGATGGGCCAAGATTCAAAACAAAATGTGTGCAATAAATTCACATAAGTTGTGTTTAAGCAATACGAACTTAAATGCTTAATGTTTGTGCGTTTAGTTTCAGTAAATTAAGCGTACATCTCTAACTTTGAAAAATAAGTAGGAAAAATATTAGAAGGGCACAGTAAAACAATGAAAAGTTTGGTAGATACAAAAAGTAAGGTAAGAAATGTTAATAAAGGTTCGGGTATTCATCTATTTTCTTTACTTACTGTTAATAGTTCTGGTGGCTGGTGCTCATTTCTAGCAGTCAAGAGGCAAGGACTGTTTATCACACTCACCTACTTTGTCAATTAACATGTTTTAAAATGTAGGAAGAAACCCACCATGTTCTTCTAATCCTAAGGCTTCAGGTTTGAGCCCAGGTTGCATCATACCCATCTCACTACAGCCTCGTGTTCAGGCTGCTGTTTAATATACGTGGTTTTGCATTATTCGTGTTTAGCGTATATCTTAGTGTATAGCTTAGATCCTTATATACTGTTTCTTCTTATACTTTATATTTTTTTGCTATTTTGTGGTGTAACTGCAGGGACCTTGAGTACACAATTTCGTTCCACCTCATGTATCACATGTGATGCGAATGACAATAAAGAACCTTGAATCAGGAAGGGCATCTGACATAAAAAAAAAGCCTCATATTTTGTGAGCTTGCTTGCTGTGGGCAATCCCTTTTGAAAGGAGCAGCTGAAAGAAAAAAAAAACAACAACCATTAATTGAAAACTATTTGGATCTAAACAATATCACATTCCCTCCTCTGATCCTTAGACATCTTAGAAAGATGAACTGTGTTGATCAACTTTGCTGATTTATGAGCAGCACAGCAGTGCAGTGGTTAAAGCTGCTGCAGGATCGCCTCCCAACCTGAGGCCTCTCTGAGTGGGTGGAGTTTGCATGTCTCCCTGTGCATGTGGTCATTTTCACACCTGATCGTCCGGTTGACTTGGTTCAATTGGGGACTAAAATTCGGAACATTTGTTTAAATTTTCAGCGGGTGTGGTTCACATTCACACTGCACTGTCAATTGAGCCAACCTGTTCCCCCCCTCGCCTGTGGTGGCACTGCACCAAGAATTACTGAAGGAAACAACATGAAAACCTCTGAAGAAGACACTGAGCACAACTTACTTCTGTAAAAATGGAGTGGCTTCAAATTTTTGTGGTTTTAGGATTTCTGTTTTGCCTGTGGCACATGTGCCAAACAAACACTTTCCAACAATGGACTCAGCATGAGCAGAAGATGAGGCAGAGGACCATAGAGAATGTTGTTTTTCACACAAGGTGGCTGAGACGGCTCCGTATGAGGTATGAGAAATGCATGTTTGTGTTGGTTGAATTTACACAGAATGCCTTGCGCTGTAGTCCACTTCCTGCCTTTGGCGCGGTCTCCAGTCCGCTTGCATTCACAACACATTTGAGTTCACTTCAACCAAACTGAGACCTAGATATTTAGGCAGAGCAGAGTTCACTTTTTTGGTCCTCATCATTGTTCAATTTCACATTCACACCTTCCTAAACCAACCAGACTTTCTAGGAAAACATATTCAAGTTTGATTAAAGCGGACTAAGCAAGGCTGGTGTGAATGCACCCCAAGTTTTCTCCAGGTACTCTGGTTTCCTCCTACAGATCAAAAACATACATGTTAGATTAAATGGTAATTACAAATTGTTCCTAAATGTGTGAATGGTTGACTGCTTGTCTCTGTGTGGCCCTGTGATGGACTTGTGGCCTGTCCAGACTCCAGGATGTAGTCCACCTCTTGCACAGTGACCGCTGGGGGTATGTGCTAACTTCTGGCAACCCAGAGAGGTAAAACGGGCCAAGAAAATAAGTGAATGGACACCTAAGCCCATCCATCCATTATCTTTACCCGTTTATTCCCTTTTGGGTCACAGGGGTTGCTGGTGCCCATGTCCAGCAATCACTGTGCGAGGGGCGGGGTACACCCTGGACGGGTCGCAAGTCCATCACAGGGCCACATAGAGACAAACGAGACAAACAACCATTCACTCTCTCACTCACACCTAGGGACAATTTAGAGTTACCAATCAGCCTAACATGCATGTTTTTGGTCTGTGGGAGGAAACCGGAGCACCCGGAGAAAACCCACGCATGCACGGAGAGAACATGCAAACTCCACCCAGAAAGGCCCCTGGACCGGGGTTTGAACCAGGGACCTGCTCGCTGAGAGGCAGCAGCTCTACCAGTTGTGCCACCGTGCTGCCCTTTCAAATTATATAATTTATACAATTTCTAATCTTTAGCCTTTAATAGCAAAACAGTTTTGAAATGTATCAGTACTTCCTGACCCATATCAAACCAAGACTTCAAGACATTAGTCTGGGCCTCTAAATGGCACAAGCTGCCCGTTTGATGTGAATTCATGTTCTTACCTGTACATTTTTTATAACCATTAAACATGCAGTTCTTTTTAACACTGAGAAGAAGTACATCAAATTGGCTGATAACATTAAAAAAAAAAAAAAAACACCTACCTGGATATGTTAGATCTAGTTATAAATGTCAGTCTCTGCGGAGAAGCTTGGTGAAGTAAAAGCCTCTGGGGTAACCCTACAAGCCTATACATTCGTTTTAAGTTAGAGGATTGACACCTGTG